TTCATTAAGAGTTTAAGATAAAACTCAACCCTCTTTTCTAATGTCAACATAATTATGAAATGTTAGACAATTATCCAAATCAACGACTTGTTGTTACCCATTGAAAATCTTAACGTTAATGTTCTGTTAACTTAAGATTGGGTTGCCGCCATTGTCGGAACTCTTACTCAAGGAGTTTCAACCCCATACCTCTCGAGGTTGTTCTTACTAAGTCTCTGGCCAGCGGCTTAGTAAACGGATCAGCCAAATTATAGCTTGTTCGTATATACGTAAGTGAAATGATTCCATCCTTAATCAGTTTTCTTACGAACGAATGTCTAAGTCCTATATGCCTGGACTTTCCATTATACACTTCGCTAAATGCTCTTGCCAAAGTGGCCTGACTATCGCAGTGTATCATTACCTTTGAAACATTGTCTTTAGCCAATGGAACTTCCAAAAGAAGATCCCTCAACCACTCTGCCTCTTGACTAGCGGAAGCGAGAGCCACGAATTCTGATTCCATGGTCGAAAGAGTAATGCATGTTTGTTTCTTGCTCTTCCAGGAAATTGCTCCTCCAGCTAGTGTAAATATCCACCCAGTTGTAGATTTGTGATTTCCCACGTCAGAGATCCAACTGGCATCGGTATATCCTTCTAGTATAGCAGGAAACCTACCATAATGAAGACCAAGATCTTTGGTTTTCAACAAATAACCAAATATCCTCGTGATTGCCTTCCAATGTTCATTACTTGGATTACTAGTAAATCTACTCATTTTACTAACTGCAAATGATATATCGGGTCTAGTACATTGCATTAAGTACATAAGACATCCGATCGCACTTGCATATTCTAATTGAGCCACTGCTCTTCCATCATTCTTTTCAAGTTTGATTACATGATCAAATGGAGTAGTTACTTCCTTGAATTTCAGGTGTTTGAACTTATCAAGCATTTTCTCAATATAATGTGTTTGATTAAGTTCATAACCCCCACTATTTTGCTTAACTTTTATTCCTAAAATTGTGTCAACAAGCCCAAGATCTTTCATCTTGAAAGTGGAAGTTAGAAACCTTTTTGTTTCTAGAATTCCATTAAGTCTATTGCTAATTATTAGCATGTCATCAACATAAAGACACAAAAATATTACAGTGTTATTATACACTTTTGTATATAAACACTTGTCACAAGAATTAGGAATAAATCCATTTGACATTATCGTAGAGTCAAACTTTTGATGCCATTGTTTTGGTGCTTGTTTTAAGCCATATAGAGATTTGACAAGTTTGCACACCTTCTGTTCATTTCCAGGAAGGACGTGTCCTTCTGGTTGTTCCATGTAGATTTCCTCATCGAGGTCTCCGTTTAGGAATGCTGTTTTAACATCCATTTGATGAACAATCAGATCATTTAAAGATGCTAAAGCAAACAACAACCTTATAGTGGTTGTTCTCGCTACAGGTGCATAAGTGTCAAAATAATCTATACCTTCCTTTTGTCTAAATCCTTTTGCCACTAATCTTGCTTTATAGGTGTTTAATGTACCATCACTATGATATTTCTTTTTAAACACCCACTTGCATCCAATGGGTCTTGATCCCTTTGGTAAATCAACAAGTTCCCAAGTGTGGTTGGACATAATTGAATCCATTTCATCTCGGACAGCATCTTTCCAAAAAGAGGAGTCTCTTGAAGCTATTGCTTCCTTATAAGTTTTAGGATCTTCCCCTACTTGAAGAATTACCGGAATGCTTTTAATAAAATTTGTATTATTTCCTTCAACCAGATAAAATGAAATGGATTGAGAATCAATTTCGTCTGGTCCTAGGTTCTTTATTTTCCGGACTCTTTTGCTTATCCTAGGTTCGGGTCGTGGTTCATTTATTCGAGATGTGTCTTCAGGTTGTATTTCTACAATCCGAGAAGAGTCCTTTTCACAAGATTCTTTGTTTATGGCCGACTCTGATTCTTTATCCTTAGTTATAAGGTTTTCAAAGAATTCTACATCCCGGGATTCAACAATAATATTAGACTCTAAATTTAACAGTCTATATGCTTTGCTATTTTGTGCATATCCTACAAATGCACATCTTATCCCTCGAGGACCCAACTTGGTTCTCTTAGGATCCATGTTTTTGTAATATGCCACACACCCCCACACCTTAAAGTAGCCAATATTTGGTGTCATGCCCTTCCATACCTCATATGGAGAAATTCCACTTTTCTTTAAGGGAATTCTATTTATTATGTGACAAGCGGATAATAAAGCTTCGCCCCACAAATTGAAAGGTAGTTCGGAATGCAATAACATGGCATTCATCATTTCTTGATATGTTCGATTCTTTCTTTCTGCTATGCCATTTTGTTGTGGTGTTCTAGGTGCCGAACATTCATGTATTATACCATGTTCTTCACAAAATGCATCAAATTCAGTGGAGAAGTATTCACCGCCCCTATCACTCCTAAGGACTTTTATACTTCTACTTAATTGATTTTCCACTTCTGCTTTGTAACTCTTAAAGGCATTAAAAGCCTCATCTTTATGCTTTAAGATATATACATAAGTGTATCTAGAGCAATCATCAATAAATGTAATGAAATATCTATTTCCCCCACGGGTCAACATGCCATTAAATTCGCACAAATCTGAATGTACAAGATCAAGCAGATTTGTATTTCTTTCAACACTTTTGAAAGGTTTCTTAATCATTTTTGATTTAACACATAATTCACATTTATTGAAATCTTTGATATTACATGATATCAAGCCAAGTTTAATTAGTCTCTTCATTGAACTAATACCAATATGTGCTAATCTATTGTGCCATAAAGTAACTGAATCAAGCATGTAAGCAGAATTAGAAATTTCATTAATCATGTTATCAGTAATACATAGTTTGATCATTCCTTCAGCGGAATATCCTTTTCCAACAAACACACCATTACGGGTCAAGATAAGTTTGCCCGATTCATACACAGATTTAATACCCGGTTTTCCCAATAAATCCCCACTAACAAGATTCCTATTCATGTCTGGGACATGAAGCACATTAACAAGAGTAACTTTCTTTCCAGAAGTGAAGTTGAGTTCGACCGTTCCGGTTCCAACAACTTTGGATCGCACTTCATTTCCCATTTGTACTTCTTGTCCATCATTTGCCTCAGAATATGTTTTGAATGCAGCCCTGTCATATGAGACATGAACCGTGGCACATGTATCATACCACCAACCTTGGACCTTGCCTTTGATTGCCATAATTTCGCTCACAGTAGCAATTATATCATCATTAGCATTCACTGCATTGATCTCCTTTTTTGATTTATTATGCCTGCAATCTCGAGCATAATGTCCAGGTTTTCCACATACAAAGCATCCATTTTTCGGACCCTTCGGACCACCGAAGTTCTTGAACTTGGTATGTTCCTTTTTTGGTGCGATGTGACTTTTCTTGACATCATGTTTTTTCTTTTCCTTTCTGGTCACAGCATTGGCTTTGGAAAGACCCGCAGATTCTGATTTTTCCCTCTCCTTCGATTCCTCCTCGATTCGAAGATGCTTCTGGATTTTCTCCAAGGAAAAGTCATCAGAACTGTGCAACAGTTTCTTTTTATAGCCTTTCCACGAACTTGGTAATTTCGCAATGATTGCACCAACTTGAAAGGTTTCAGGAATGTCTATTTTCACCGCTTTGATTTTGTTCACCAGGACTTGCAATTCATGCACTTGAGGAAGTATGGGCTTGGAATCTATAAATTTAAAATCAAAGTATTTAGAAATTAAGAACTTTTTCGTACCTTCTTCTTCGGCTTTGAATTTAAACTCCAGGGAATTCCATATGTCTCTAGCGGACGGATTGTCTGTGTATAAGTCGTATAGGCGGTCAGATAGCGTATTCAGGATATGCCCACGGCATAGTAATTCGTCCTCCCTTCGCAGCATGCGCTTCTTCTTGAGTTCGTCAGAATCATCTGCAGTTGGTTCTGGAATTGGTGTCAGATTGGGATCCAAGACGTAGTGAACCTTGAGTGCAGTAAGCAGGAACGTCATCTTGTCTTGCCATCTGGTAAAGTTGTTTCCATCGAAACGATCCAATTTGACAAGGTCCTGATTCATAACTTTGATACTTGAAACAGCAGCGTCGGAATCCATGATAGAAATACTTTTAAGATTGTTAGATAATTCTTCTATGTCGAATGGATCCAGACTGAATCGTGAACGAAATCACTTTCCTTAAAAGTATTTCAAGCACACTCTCAGATTGTCTTAGAGTTGGAACGGCCTGAATACCCAGGATAAGTCAGCCTTTTTCTCGAAACTGCACAAGACTGATGAAGTTTCGAATGCAAGGAAAATGTTGGAATTATATGGAAGAGGATTTCAGAATTTGGAGTGAATGATTTCGAATTATGAAGCATATATTTATAGCCATGCATGTGTCTTTTCAGAAGGTTGCAATTCTTCATAAACACACTCTCTAATGAGCATTTGCAATGGTTCACATAAAATATCATGCACCACTTCGTCAAGTGTCATGTATTTCAAATTGTCAAAATCAAACTCTAGGCAGCGAATAAGTCTGAGCGTCGTGCCTAAGTGCTCAAGTGCCGTCTACAAGCCGCCACTAGCGCCTCTACGCCCACGCCCACGCCCCCGGTTCCGGTTCGCCGGCGAGGGGTGTTTTGTATGAGACAAGTGACATAAGTTTTGGCACCACCACATGTGACTATGTGGCACTTTATCCTTTTTGGCTCTTTTGGAAATTACATTGTTCCAAGTGCCTTATAAATGCTATTTAATTTTACTCCTCTTCCAATGTGGGACTAAGCATTTATTATAACACCCACTTTGTCATTTTGGAACAACTTTAATGGAAATAAATTATTATTTCCAACACACACTATAAAAATATGCTATAATATAACCCTTATATATCCATTCTCTCCCACCTTTCATTTCCAAACCATAGCAAAAACATTACAAAAAGGAATAAAATCATTATCATCATACATATACAAAGATGGTGACAGGAGAAGATTTATACAACGTCATGTGTGCAATGGTGCCTCTATATTTCGCAATGCTAGTTGCTTACGGTTCTGTAAAATGCTGCAGAATGTTCACACCAGAGCAATGTTCCGGCATAAACCGATTTGTGGCGGTTTTTGCCGTGCCGGTTTTGTCTTTTCATTTTATTTCTCTCAATAATCCTTACCAAATGGACACTAAATTTATATTGGCGGATACAGTTTCTAAGGTTCTTGTTCTCTTTTTTCTTTCTGTTTGGGGTATTTTCTTTGCTAGAGGCTCTTTGGATTGGGTTATCACTTTGTTCTCGGTTGCCACCTTGCCTAATACTCTTGTTATGGGAATTCCTCTACTTCAAGCTATGTATGGTGATTTTACAGAAACTCTCATGGTGCAACTTGTTGTTTTTCAATGCATCATATGGTATGTAATATATTCTATTTCTTCCTCAATATTTGTAATTCAAATATATGGATAAAAACATACACTTTTTCTTAATTTATGAGGACATGTAGGTAAAAGTAAAAATTAGTTTTTCAACGTTTTGAGAATATGAAAAATGAAAAATATCCATGAAAGTGGGAGTACATAAATAGAGATGCTCTTATGAATAAAGTCTAAATTAATCATGTTCTTCCACTTATTTATGTTTATTCAAATTATTCTATACATTATACCAACAAATGGATTGAAATTACATTTTTTAATTAAATATATTATGTTGTTTTATGATTAATAAAAATAATATGATATTTTTCATTAAAAAAATGATATTAAATACTTTTAAAAATTTTACACCCGTAGGTAATGAACAATTAATCACCAGCACTAAATAAAGAACCTTCAACCTGGTAAAGAATTAACAATGAAAATTTTATATAACCTTCGAAACAAAGTTAAAAAAAAAAAGGTAGCTCGTATCGTAATTTGATCGAGTATACTAGTACATATAAAGAAAATTGAATATAACATTTAAATAAAATTCATTTAAAATTTAAATTTATTTTAAAACAAATTATTATAAAAAATGATGTAGTATTTGATAATTGAATTATGGATATTTTTGAATATTAGAGGGTTAACCTGTTTTCTTAATTTTGTGTTCAGGTATACGGTGCTACTATTTCTACTGGAATACAGAGCAGCAAAACTCTTAATCAAAACCGAGTTCCCGGGAAACAAAGCATCCTCCATAACAAAATTCGAACTCGACGGCGACGTAATTTCCCTCTACGGCCAAGACGCGCCGCTCCAGGCCCTATCAGAAACCGACGAAAACGGCCGCATTAAGGTCCGAATCCGTCGATCCACTTCATCAGCTGCAGCAGAATCAACCTCATCAATAACTACCGGGATAACTCCAACACGGCTCTCCAATCTCTCCAACGCCGACATCTTCTCCATCAACACGCCGCTGAATTTTCTCGATAATCCGAGTGCGAGTCCGCGGTTCTCCGGTTACGCTTCTACTGATGCTTATTCGCTGCAGCCGACTCCGCGGGCGTCGAATGTTAATGAAACGGAGATATGTGGAACGCCGGTAGTGGGGAGGTCGCCGGTGGGTGGTGGGAGGGGGTTGAGGGGGAACTCGCCAGTGGTGGAGGGAGGTAGGATGGTTTGGGAATCGCCTGAGAAATGGCAGGGAGAAGAGAGACAGAGATGCAAGGACATTACTATGTCAGGTAAGTGTTTGTGTTTATGTCTCTTAGAATAGTGAATGGTGTCTTTGAGCACGCTAATAAAAATACAAAAGAGTGAATAGAGATTTTCAAATTTCACTTTTAGTCCATTAATTTAGCAATATAAGTTAATTTTTTTTTAAGGTTTTAAAATTGACAGTACAATATTAAGGTATTTTTTAATCTAAAAATATTAGTTTTTAAGTTTGTCTTCATGTAGCAAGAGACTACACATGTTGGTCAATATTTAAGAAGTTTGGGGTGATGAAAATTAGTTATACGAATAAATTTGTTATTTGTATCTACAACTTCTATTTTATTTCACCTACAAATTTATCTAATTTTTATTGGGTGTGGGTAAATTAATCACAATTTTATTTGGTAATAAAAAAAACCTTACTCAACACAGAATGATACTTTCACCTTTGTTTTAGTGAAATAATTAATTTTTTCTTAATTTTTTAAAACCACGTTAATTATATTCTTTCATTGTATATTCTAATACATCATTCTTATAATTTCAAATTTTCTACTTTGTATTTATGGTATTTATAAAAATACCAATCTTTTAATAAGATGGTTGTAGTAAAAATTTTATTTTTACCGATTATTAATTGATTTAATAATAAATGACGTTGAAGTTGGTAGGATACACCACAATTTCATCTTTCGCAATTGCATTCTGAAAGATATTAGACTTATTTAATGTCAATACAGACATCCGACCTTTGAATCGAATAGTGGTGGTGAAAATTTAAAATAAATAAAAGTATTATTTTCTAATTTGATTGTATCTATTTAGACAAAATTACATTAGATATTTTTTTAAGTTATTTTTGTGGTCATTGAGTTTCTTTTTTAACCTTATTCTTTGATTGATTTCTACATTCTTTTCCTTATATATTTTTTTGAACATTTAAAAGTTGTGATTAAAAAAAAAACTTAAAAGATCAATCTATTACACAAAAATAATTTAAAGAATCTCATGTATAATTTTTCATTTTGTAACATGTGTGTAATATTTAAATAAAACATCTTATAGAATGAAGAAAGCATTATTTTTTCAATAATAGTTTTATTTATTTATTACACAGAGAAAATAAATAAAATAAAATAATAAATAATTTAGTGTTTTCTTATATGTATACCATTAAAATAAAATTTAAAGAAACTTAGACTTAATTTTCTTTGTCCCGTATCTTAATTTTAAAGTTTATTTTATTCATTTAATTTAAGAAAAAGTTATTATTAATCTCTTAACTTTTTAAAATATACTATATTAATTTTTTTTATCTAATTAACGACGAAAAAATTTAAAAATTAATTATTAAATTCAATTAGATAAAAATGATTAATAAATGATTCAAGAGATCAATATAATTTTATTTAAAGTTAAAGAACCAAAATTAATATCAAAGTTAAGATAAGAAAAATTTAAGAGGACAGAAAGTTTTTGGAATTATTTACAAATGGGTCTATATAGATTTGTGTAATAATTTTGAAAAAGTCAAGAAAGGAATAAAACCTACCAAATAAAACACAAAACATAGATCCATTAATAAATGTTGTCATGTAGCAAGAATGGCATGTAAAAAACATTTACCCTGTCTTATTATAAGGGTTACTATTTAAGATAATAACCAAAATTCATTAACATTGAATAGTATATAACCTAAACGTGAGTTCACACCAATAAAAAATATATATTGGTTCCTACATGGCCAAAATAGAAGCCTCAAATATATACCAAAATCACACACCTAATATCAATGGAAGTGATTCAAAATAATAGTAGTGAATAAGTAGATTATTAATTACTTTTTTTAATATGATAGTACTACTATTTTATATCTTACTCACACACCATAGACACTATTCGTTTGGTATAGACCCAGGTGGTAGATTGAGGTAGTATTCGAATAGCAGTGTGTTGGCAATAATACAGTGTTTCAGAAAACGTAGGTATATGTTTGTTCTTTAGCGGACGCCCATGCGACCTTTCTGGTATTTGCTGTACGTTTTGTCCCCGACCATGGTTTGTTTCCTTGTCGTATTCTCAGGCATTCATTACTACTGTCATAATTTGTTGAGCATCGTTTTTTTTGGTTATGTCTACTTTCATATCTGCAACATCAATTTCTCAAAACCTGTGTTTATTTGTATTATATCATTCACTAAGCTCTTTTTCATATTACACAAACATTTTACGCTGATTCATGTCCTTTGATGATCATATGAAATAGCGTGGTCTCTAATTTAGAAAATAATAATTATACTTTCGGTAACTCTTGGTAAATTGTCATTTCTATGTCTATATTTCATCATAACACAATTGCACGTGAGAAATGAATACACACGTAAACACTAAAGATTTAACAATATAGTAGTAGGTTTGTAATATATTTCAAAAAAATATGGGTTTATCAATGATTTTTCGAATCTGTGGATACTACAGAACACAACACTAGACAGGTGGTCCCTCCTATAACCCACGCCTCTTTCTAGTGTATAAAAATTGAAACCATTCACCTAATAATAACAAAGTGGTCAAAGCAATATAGAAATATTTACTTTTAGTATATAGTAGTTTATAAAAAACTTGTTACTTTACTTCGTTTGTGAGGGTTAATTCATAGTTGCCATCATTTGTAGAGAGCACGTGTGTAATGATGGTTAAGCATGATTCCCATTTGTGGTGAAAATAGGGATCTAGATTTGGTGCTTAAGAAAAGGATGCATTTGGGTGCACTAAATAATTTCCACTATTAGTTTGAGATTGGATAGTTCAGATTAATCAATAACAAAATCAGTAATACATATTTGATATTTCTATCATTATTTTTGATCGAAAGATCGAGGTTGAGAATTGTGTCAGGCACGATAGAAAATTCGTTTCCATGAAAAAGATGCATGTAACATTGAGTCATCATCCAAACCGATGTTAATCACATTCTGATTGAACGGTCAAGGATCGTCCAACATATTTAAGTTTATGTCTCCTTAGAAATCAATGATTCAATAGTACAGCCTTACAAGGTCGTACTATTGTATTATTGTAGTTTCTAACAACAGACTTGAATTTAAGTCATATTGTATTACTGTAGTTTCTAACAACAGACTTGAATTTAAGTCATGTGGATGACCTAAGACAGTAAAACTAAAAATGTGAGCTTGATTTGTTAGCATTGTCTTTTGTCTTTTATTTATTTATTTTAACTAATTGATTATTAGATTTAGTAATTTCTTTAGCTATCATATGACAGATAAGGAAATTAGCTTCAGAGATAGCCTCAAAGTCTCAATGGCAGGAGAAGCTGTGGACCCAAAAGACCAAATTTCCAGTAGCCAGAAAATGCCATATGCCTTTGTAATGTTAAGGCTTATATTCATTGTTGTTGGAAGAAAACTTTCTCGAAATCCTAATACATATTCTAGTGTATTAGGACTTCTTTGGTCTCTAATCTCCTTCAAGTAAGTGATATTCTGAAACATTACAAATTAACTGCATTATGGATTTGGATTTCACGCGACACTAATTAATCTCAGCAGCCGTATCTTAAATCAATGGCAAAGGCCAATCAAAGATGTTAGAGTGAATGTGCAATGTAAGCCGATCGATTTCAAATCAATGACTGAGGTCAATTAATGCATGTTTACGTATGCATTTGTTAATGCATGGAATCCAAATCCATCATATATCGCAGTTTGAATGTGATTCATATGATAATGTTTTTGTCATATTATAAATTTTATATTTGTAAAAGTCCTTTTCATGTATTGTTTTAGGCTATATGTTAAGGTATGCATATTTTCATACATCTTATGATGTGAATTTGCAGATGGAATATAGAAATGCCGAGTTTGATCAAATCGTCTATCAAAATCATATCTGATGCAGGTCTTGGGATGGCAATGTTTAGCTTAGGTACATTACATATTCTATAAATATATATATATAACCATTTAATATCATGAGTATTTATATATAGAAGACAGACACACACCCACTTGTACACATGGTGTTTCTTCAATATATGAATCTTATACATTGCAAAATTACAAATCCTCAAACCTAATATCAAAATGTGGAAGAAGACAGAGGAACATATGATAAAGAAAAAACATGCACTGTCTTGTACTAAGGTGTTTGTGGCAACCCAATAAAATAAATGTGATGTCTTAAAAGCACATGATAATCATATGAAAATGTGAAAATGGAAGTGATTAATTTGCTATATATTACTAAGATGAGTCCAAAAAATGGTTACTATATCTATAGAAAACAATGACAGATACTAATTTGAAACTGAATTTGCAGGGCTTTTCATGGCTCTTCAGCCTCGTATCATTGCTTGTGGTACAAGAAAAGCAGCCATGGGAATGGCCATTCGATTCCTATTTGGACCTCTTGTAATGTCATTATCTTCCATTGCGATTGGATTGAGAGGAAAAAAACTGCATACTGCCATTGTACAGGTACTTGTGTTGGATCTTTGTGGAATGAATTCACATTTGTAGACACATTAGCACATGAAAATTGCATATAATATGTATCTGAAGAATGTGCGCATGTTTCTTCTGTAATAACTGTGTTTGTTATACTATAGAGGGAATATTAAATATAGATAAAGTTGTTGTGTATATGTTTGTGCTTATTTAGCTTTGACTTCAATTCAATTGCTTCTCAGGCTGCTCTTCCACAAGGGATAGTGCCATTTGTATTTGCAAGGGAATATGGGCTTCATCCTGATATTTTGAGCACAGGGTAAATTTCCTAAATTTATTTATTTATTGGCCAATCTTATTTGCATTTGCTCATTTTATATTTTGCTCATTTTAATCGTGAGATTAACTATTCACACTTAAACTCTAATAAAAATCTCGTTCTCAAGTGTGAATCACCTACGACACTAATTCCACCGTGTTACCAACCAATATAATTTGCAACGCAACCAGGGAGACACTTGGGTGCCATGGTCCCCCAAAGTCTCTATACCATGTAAGGTACTATGCAGCATGTCAAGGCTTTGGCTCTATTCAACGTTGCTAACATGAGAAGAAAAATAATTGGCTACATTAAATCATTGCCTTAGTTGGTCCCTCCAATGGTGAGACTTTAGCTTAACCACTTCTTCTAACTAAGTTGTTGGATAGACTTTAGATACAATGACTCAATACATGTGCATTCACTCTTGCTTCTCATCAAAAGTTAAAATAAACAATGAGTTGTTCTTCTAATGATACAACATTAAGTTGTTATAGTTATTTATGTGGATCCTTTTTCATTTTAGATGATTGATTGGAGAATATAGTGCTCAGAAAAAGAAATGATGGGAAAGTAAAGTAATCTACCCCACTTAATAAGTTGATTAATTATTATGCAGCCCTAACTAGGATACCGAATCTATCAACTCCATTATTGTCTATAACAACCAAACATTTATAATTTAGTGTAACATAATTATGCATATTGAAAATGGCCATTTGCTTCTTTTTTTTTTTTTATAGTACTTATAGTTTTTTTATGCTAAAAACATATAGAATAATCGGAATTCTCGTTAATAAATTGTAGAATTAATCCTCTTAAATTAGTGGGTCGCATGATACTAAGATTTAAAAAAAAATAACAACATAAATATTATATTTATAGTGATTCATAATGTAAAATTGAGCTAATAATATTAGTTTGTGATTATTTATGATCAAAGATGTTAATTGAGCATATTTAATTTCCATCTATGATTTATAGATAGTGGATCGCACGTACAACTTGAATTATTGCGCATGACCTCAAAATTAACAATTATTTTTATGTTGCTCTTATTTTCGTTTGCAGGGTAATCTTTGGCATGCTAATTTCCTTGCCAATAACTCTCATTTACTACATATTTCTTGGCTTGTGACAAGTGGGAGAAAAGTTCTATCAATGGATTGAAAAATATAATATTCAAATTCCTAACTATGGTAGCATTTACACTAAACCATGTTGTAATTCATCAAAGTAATGTATACATACATCGGAAAAGATTCTAAGTCCCATAATTGTGTCAGCATGGACCACCATTGGTTTTCCACTATTGTAGAGAAGATTGACCTATGCTTAAAAACTGGTTTTAACTTTTACTTAAACAAGGGTGTGATAAGGTAGCACAATTTAGTAGTTGAGATTTAAACTCAGCCTTCCATTTCTTATAAACATGTCTTTTAGGAATGTTTTGCACGAATAAATATATATAACTTTTTAGTTTTATATATTCATATTTTTATTTACTCACCTATTTATCTTTTCTGCGTCAATGTGAATGTAAAATAATAGTAAAAGCACCGAAAGAGGAATAAGTATTATCACGACCAATCATTAAGGTTTGAGACTTGCTTTGTTGTTGGATGTTGGAAGGAAAGTTTTGTTGGGACAAATATCGATTCTGTCATCTCAGATAAATAAAAAAAAGTGTATGAAAGCAACATTTAAACAAATTTATGGCACGCTAAGGTGAAGATTTGTTTGTGTTCAATGACAATATACAAACGCTGAGGTGAAGATTTTTTTCGTGTTCGGATGAGAATATTTGAATGACAAATGACACTAGGTTAATTGTTATGGTAATATTTTCTTCTATTCGAACCTTACACTTTTTAGAGTTTTAGAAAGGAAGACTTTTTTTAAGATTGCGTTATATTTTAAAATGTGAGATATTTTTAAAAAGTATAAAAAACAATGCACTCTATTATCATATAAAATCATATTGATTTTTAAGTTTTTAAAAAATATCACACATTTTAAGATATAAATGCAACATTCTACTCAGAAACTCTCTAAAAAATTAATTCTCAAATAGATCCTACATCTTTAGTTTAATCATCGATTTTTGCATATATACATATTGATTGATTATATTTAAATAACATTGAACAATTCATTATTATTATTATTTTTAATAAATAAAAATCATTTTATTTATAACTAAAAAGCTTATTTTTCTTTATAATTTTTAAAACAAATATTTTTTAAGGTGAACATTTCGTGTCCATCAAATTTAATTAAATATCAATACCTATTAGATAGCTCCACATCATTAATATTAATTTTATTTATAAATAATTATTATATTAATAAATATTATTCATTCAATCATCAATTATTTATGCTTTTTAATTTTCGTTAAGTACAAATGCTTTCTGCTGCACTATAATTTTCTCTGCTGCCGCTACATTCGTCGTTGTCGTCACTGTGCTTTCTGGTGCACAATAATTTTTCGTCGTTATCGTCACTGCGCTTTCTGCTGCACAATAATTTTTTGTCGTCGCCGCTTCATTCGGCCAAGCCGCCATTGTGCTTTCTATTGCGCTGTAATTTTCCGTCATTGCCGTTTCAGTCGTCGCCGCCGCCACTGCGCTTTCTGCTGCACAATAATTTTTCGTCGCAGCCGCTTCATTCGTCCTAGCCGCCATTGCGCTTTCTATTGCACTGTAATTTTCCGTCGGTGCCATTTCATTTGTCGTTGTCGTCAATTCGTCTGCTCTTATCTTCGACTCTCGCTCTCCTCTTTGTTATGTAAGGTCATCTTTCTCCTGTATGAATATTTTGATTTTTGAGTTTTTATTTTGGTGTTTAAATTATTCTAATCAATTACATTAAAATAGATAAAACTTAGTTTGTTTCCAATTCTTGTGATACAAAATATTCTTCTTGTGAAAAATATATTATGTTTTTTTACTTTGCTTTTGTTTGTTTTTTGATAGCTTTAGGAGTACCAACACTAGAGTTTGTTATTGTTTCATGTGATGCGAACAATAAATACGGTGAGAGTAACGATTTTAAAATAAACATTCAATTCATAAAGGTTACAAATTGTGTAACAAGCATGGATAATGATGGAGATGTTAATGATGTCAAAATAAACAATGGTAGTTATGTACATAATGAAGAAGAAAAAGATGATTTAGATGGTTACAAAGCTATACATGAAATCTGATATGATAATATAAGAGAGATGAAATTTGAATTAGAGAAAAAAGCTTGTGAGTTTTATGAAGCATTTGCAGAATGTCATGGGTTTGTTGTAAGAAGAGATGTGACAAAAGTAATTTCAAAAATAATGTTATTATGTGCCAATTAGTTTGCAATAGAGAGGGGAAAAGATATAAGAAACACATGTTAAGGGTGGAGCGACAAAGGGAACCAAAGTCAATCACTTGAACATATTGTCTTGCTCTGCTGTGTGTAGCATATGATGTTTTAACTAGGAGTTGGATAGTTGTTGCATTTAAATTCGCGCATAATCATAAGTTAACTCCATAACGAGTTGTTCATTTTATTCCTAAGTATCGTCGATTGATTGAAGCTAATAAAGCGCTTGTTGATGACTTGCATACATGTGGTGTTAGAACATGTCATATTTTTTGTCTTATGATGGGTCAGAAAGGTGGTCATGAAGATTTTTGATTTATCAAGAATGACCTATATAACTACTTTAGTAATGCAACCAAGGCTAAAAGGGAAAATGGATATGCTTTTGCTGCTTTGTGCTATTTGCAGGCTAAAGTTGACAATGATTCAATGTTTTTTTTCAAAGCTTACCAGAACTGACGATGGTCGTCTACAAAATGTGTTTGGTCAGATGGAACTAGTCGATTTAACTCTGAATGTTTGGGTGATGTGGTTGCATTTGACACGACCTACAAATACGGGTACAACAAACCCTTTGTTATTTTTCGTGGGTACAATCAACATGGAGAAACTACAATTTTTGGTGTGCTTTAATTTCAAATGAAAAAGCATAAACATATAAGTGGACTTTAAATGCCTTTTCTGAAGCAATGTTCCATAAATGTCCAAATGCATTTGCTAATGGGAGAGATTGTGCAATGAGAGAAGTTATTAGGTTTGAATTTCCAAATGCATCACATTGCCTTTGTTTATGGAATTTATATCGAAATGTTATTGAGAGGTCAAGAATACAAAGTTCTTAGAAGAGTTTAAGTCATTTATCTATGTTAATTATATCCCTGAGACATTTGAAGTTGAGTGGAAGAGGATTATTGAAGATAATAGTGTATCATAAAATAAATGGGTTAAGAAAATGTACCAGATAAAGATAATGTGGTCAAGTGCGTATGTAACAGCCCAATTTTAATTAATTAATTATTCATATTAATTAATAGATTCATTTGGATGATTTTGATTATTGGTAGATATTTGAGAGGAGAAATATAATGGAAGGAAATAGAATAGAAATACATATAAGGGAAAGTCGAAGAAAGAGGAAGGAATAGAAACACAAGAGAAGAGAAGAGAAAGAAAGAGGAAGAGGAGAAAAAGAGAAGGAAAAGGGGAAAAAGCTTGGAAAGCTCAAGAACAACTTCTAGCTTCGATTTAATCAAGGTAAGGGTGTGAAATATCATTATCTTGTCAATGTGTATGATTATGTATGTGTGTGTTTGTATTTGTTAGAGGTTTCCCATCTTTTTCCATTCTAGGGCAGAAATGGATTTAATCGATAGAGTCGATGTTGGAACGGTTAAGATTGAGAATAAATGGTGTAAATTAGTCGAGGATTGTTAGACTAAGACTACTGGAATTCATTGGAACTGAATCGGTTGATTTTGTGATGATTTGATGATTTTGGACAGTTGGGGTTTTGAACATCGCAGACATTCGCTAGCACCTTCGGTAGGCGAGCAGGTCGCGAGTGTTCGTTGTAGCGAGCTAGTAGCGAATGGTGCCAGACTTGGACAAAATGTAATTGACCCTCTTCGCTGGTAGTGAGCGAAGTAGCGAGGGGTTCGCTAGGCGAAGCCCCAACGAGTAGGTAGTGAAGCCTTACAGTAGCTTTTGTTTGCCTTCGCGAGCTTGTTCGCTAGGCGAACAGGTAGCGAGTGTTTGCTAGAACTCGCTAGGCGAGCAAGCTAGCGAGTGTGACAGCATTTTCATTTCCTTGTGTTTCCATCCAATGTTGATTGCTTGGTTTGATTGTGTTCAATCCTTATCGGAAATGAATAGTTTATATGTGTTGTTGTGTGATATGTTGTGGATAGCCGTATGGCGTGAATCCTAGATTGTGAAACCGACTTGTGAAATGTGGTCTTTTGACAAATATATGCATTGTTTAAAATTAATTAAAAGTGCATGATGAATGTGATTGAGTTCGTTGTCGTTGGCATGCTATTATGAATGCATATTGATTGTATGCGATTGTATGTGAAGAATGCATGAGAACATATTGTGAATATGTGTGCATTGCTTGATAAATGTGATGATGTTGAAAGTATGAATATTTTGATATGATGTGTGAGTGTGCAATCATGTTATAATTCTTGTGTGATGAATTATGTGACTATGCATGGGATTAAGATGCGAGAACGGTCTTAAGTACATATGATTGTTGATTGCATACGCATCATTTAGTCAAGAGGCAATGCTTGCTAGTTACGTGGAGACTAGTGACTTGTCCCAAACCTAGAAGGGTGGGTTTGAAAGCTTAGAGGACGGGCTTTTGTTGTTATCGGTCTAGGGAAGGACCCGGTTTAAATGTAAAAACCGAAAAATGATAACAAGTGTTGGTACCACATGGCATGAGTTGCATCGAGTCACATGGCATAGATATCATTGTTATATGAAGTATGCTTGTGTATGAATTGTTAAATTGAGGATTATAGATGTGTGCATGATGAAACATGCTGGGTGATTATTCATATTTGTTTATACATATATTGTGATGTATATGACGATGATAATGAATTGTGGTGAGAAATGCGGAATATGTGTATTATATGCTTGTATATATATATAATTAGATGCATTGATTATTATGATAATATTTCTCACCCTTCTGCTGTTTTATAATGCTCTATGAGGCATTGCAGATTAGGTTGCTGGAGGTCTTTTGTGAAGTATAGCTTC